CAGTTGAATGGTGGGCTTCAACATTCACCCAATAGGGGCAGTAAGAATTCAAGTGTGCTGTTATCTTCTTGCACATCTATCAATGCCTTTATCAAGATGCCTTTTTGGTGCTCTTTAAGGGATAAAAGGATGGTTAACTGTGGTACTAAGACATATTCTTCTAAATTTGGTTTTGCAAAAAAAAAAACTTTCCTGTTTTCCTCTCTTCTCTTGTTTTTATCCTTGTCTACTTACTTAACTAAACAATCCCTTTGTTCAAAAAAGAAAGGAAAAGAACATCCTTTTTTTTCTTTCTTGGTAATGCAAGGTCATGTAAAAATGTAAAGGCATTTTTTTGTGCTAATTATACCACTTTTGGTCTCATGCCAGCTGGCTGAGTTTTGGTTGCTGGTGGAAACTTTATAGCAACTTTATGAAAATCCAAAGCTAAAAATAAGAAAAGTGAGAAAATGCTGAGACTAGTAAAAAACAAGAGTTTAGGCAGTTCAACATTTCATAAAGGGTAACAGCACTAGGGAAAAAAGACTGCAGTGGCCAGAGGAAAAATAAATAGGGGAAACATCGAAACTGACCACCGCCTAACTATACACAAGCATACAAATACTTGTTTATTACTGATGAATTGTTGATGGCAGTTTTGAAACTGGGCTCCTCGCCTTTATTGAGCTGTACATTTGATTCATTTATATAAGGTCTTCTCACAGCAAACACACTGGCACCAGAGTCGGTGAGATGCAGAGACTGGGATGACAAAATCTTCATTCTAAAATATTAAAATATTGCAACAAAAAGGAAGAAATCCCACCACCTGTTGGTTACATTGAGAATCAGAATGATAGAATATTGTAAATTTTCTAAATTTTAGGGATTATTCTTACACTGTTATAATATAGATAAGAAAAAAATTAAACTCCAGAGTTGTTTATACAAAAGGTTAAGGAGAGTGTAATGACCGTGGCCAGGCGTTCTGACCCCTAGACTGGTCGTTCCACACTGTCTTCATGCTGTAGTGTGTCCAGATACTCCCTAGAACAAGGGGTACTCGCGGAAACGAATGCTTCAAGCGTAGTGAAGAACATGATCAGAACTCAATGGAAACATGGTGGAGAATCTTCCCCTGCTTCATTTTTCAGTGCGTAACAGACAGGGGTGTGGACTTTCTATCTTATGTCTCCTCTACCGCTGGCTAATTTTAGAATCTGAATTCTAATGATACTTTTCATCCAGGGTGTCTGTTCAGCAAAATAGGATCATTGTAGGTGAACAGAGAGACCTGAATCATCACTTATGTATAATTCATAAGTGTGTGAGGAAAAAACACACTGAACAAAATTTTGGAAGTGATATGAATGAAAATGTACCTTTACATATTTATGATAAAGCCACACACATTTGTTCAATAAGTACACTGAATCTGGAAATCTGCATTCACTATTTTGAAACCATCCGATGCAGCTTATGAAATCTTGTATTTTGAGTAAATTGTTTCAGTGACATGCTGTTTAATAAAAAGAATTGTCATTACCTCTCATTTACAGTAATGTGATGGCTTACAAGTTGTGTATATCTTGATTCCAACTGAAAACAAAATGTACCATTTTTTTACCACATAACTTTCATGTAGTCTTTGACAATGTCATATGCTTAACTCAGCGAGTTGAGTAAAGGATTATAATCAACATTCTCCTGTTGAAAAATGCCGGGACTTACGGCACCCTGGGGAACAGCAGCAGCGTTGGGAGAATTAGTGCAGTACCTAGGGCAGTTACCAAAGAAACAGAGGGAAGGGTGTGTTGTAACTTAAACTGCAGTGCAGCAGAATCTCGCTCCTCTTCCCCAAGGAAACGGGGCCAAACGCTATTTCATGCTGCCTTGCTTTGCACTCCCGGCTCCAACTGCTTGTCCTCTGCTTGGAGTTGACACAGAACTGTTCTTTTGCTTCTAATTAAAACAGTTAAGGACATTACTGATTAAAAGTAGAGAAACATAACTAGTTTTATTTTATTCCAAATAAGTTTGGGCTCACCCACGATCAAAGGAAATTGAGATCTGAGAAAACAAACAGACTACAAACAAGTAATTCTGTTCACCCGATGTTCTTTCCTGGAAGTGAAATGACTGTGGCCCTTTGAAAGGCTGGCTCAGTGACCATGACACCCCAATGACAAGGGAGCTTCTGGCCAGGGGGATTTGCAAGGCTCCGTGTTTCTGAAAGTACATTTTGAAAATGAGGTTTTAATAATAACAAAGTCCAGTCAGGATATTCTTAAAGGTCCAAACAAGTGGTTTCATAGTGAAACACACATGCACACACACGCACCGTGTACAACAGTTTAGTTGCACGTGTCTCAGAGAGACATCCATCCCTTTACCACTAGGCACTCAGCCACTGAATCAGAGACACTAATAAAACAACCTTCTTTCAGGTTTATAAGATGCCTGCTTTCTTACTGTATCTGACACAGCAGGCTGTTTTTTCCAAAATTAATTATTTTTATGATGTTTATTTTTCTTGCTATTTTATGTCAGAGTGGTGATAAAATGTACTCATCTCAAGTCCTAAAACTGTCAGCTGCTTGTCCTCTAACCCCAGATGCTGGTTACAAAATAGAAGATTGAGGACTGAAGAGAGCATACAAGGGAACACTTAGCGTTGGGGTCATTGTGAAAGTTAGGACTAAAATAAAAATGACCCAAAGCACGTATGTATACTGCAATATCAATACTTTTCTCCCTGATTCTAAGTGAAACCCCACATATCACGACATAAATCATATTCCTCATGAAGTGTACAATTTCCAAAGTCAATATTCATTAGATAAAATATATGACTTTAAAAATATGATTGATGTTTATACTTTTGTGTTAAATTTAAAGGTGAGTATGATGTCAACACACTCTCAGCAGTTGTTTAATAGACATGAATGAGTGGAACTTTTCAATTTCCCACTCTCATGGGAAAAGCCGGAAGGTACGGTATTTGTTCCGTACGTTCACAAATACTAACCTGAGTTCAAGGGTCAGAGCTCTGGGCTTGGACTTTTGAAAGTAATGGGCCCAAAAGATTTGAATAGAGATTTTCAAGAATTTGGTATTTCAGAAGATGTTTAATCTCTTGGTGGTCTTTCTAATCTTTGTTTGGTAGTGTTTGGATCACAGTTTCTGTGTCAGAGAAGTTGGAAACTGAGGTTGAAGAGAAGAAATACATGTGCTCTTAATAAATATTTAGAGCTATCAGTTTTGTACCTGCTGTATTCAGGATAAATGAAGGAGAAAAGTGAAACAGAAAGAGGAGATTAAAAGAAATTTTGGATTAAATCCAAAATTGAAAAGAGTGGTTTTAAAGAAAAGTGTCTTGGCTTTAGTATAACTTTTTAAATCTTTAACTTATTATTTAAGAAATGAGAATATAACATTAAATTTAACTTTTTAATCTTTAACTTATTATTTAAGAATGAGAATATAACATTAAATTTATATCCCTTTTAGTTTATTTAATGTTGATCCTTCTTTTTATTTTTTTCTAGTGTTTTAGGAAAGCATAAAGATAACTTATATGCATACAAATCCCTACTATTTTTCCTCCTTTTTCTGAATCTCTGAGTTAAATGGTGGATAGGTAATTGTTTGGTGTGGCCCTTCCCCACTGAGTTGTTTAATACTTGATATGGGACAAACAGATCAAATGAAGTGGAATACCAAAAACCTGTAGTATTTTTTTAAAAATACATTTACAAATTCTTCTCGTAATACTGTATAACATTTCTCATTCATGAAAATATTAGGGAGCTTAGTAAGTTTGAAATAACCTCAGGAAGAGGAGTTGTTATGGTATTGTACTAGTTTTCGATTGCCGCCCTAACAGATTACAATAAAGTTAATGACGTGAATGATACAAATTAGTTATGACAAGCCCGACACAGTTTTCATCGGACTAGTCAAAGCCCTGGCAGGCCGTGTTCCTCTCTGAAGACTCCAGGAGAAGAGCTATTTTCTTCATCTGTTTCCTCATTCCAATTATTGGCGGAATTCTGCTCCTTAATACACATTGCAAGACAATGTGTATTTCCCATTTCCTCGCTTGCTCTCAGATGAGGGCCATCTCTGGCTTGTCCAGCTTCCAGAGGCCGCTGCTATTCCCCGACTTCTGTTCACCGTCTTCCATTCTCAAAGCAGCAACATCAGGTCTTGCCACTCTTCCTCTTCAGATCTTTCTCCTTCTGTCTCATCCCTCTCTGGCCCGGCCAGGAAAGTTTCCCTGCTTGGAAGAAGTTCCACCCCCAACTATGCCTTTTTAGTACAAAGGCTGTTTCAGCTGATTACTTTGAGAAACAGCAGAAGCAGGAAAAACTCTGAAAACTGACTAGAAGTCACCTTTTTTGTAAGGGAAGTGTACATTTAAAGGAAATCTCCATTTGTTAAGGGTGTCCCCCTCTCTGTATCAGGAAGTGAAGGATAACAGCATCACAAGAAAATTTATCAGTGAAGAAGGTTTAATCTGCAGAACAAGCCTTACTTTAATTTATGGTATTTTTCTTGATCATCTGTCTCTTCATGGCTGGCCTTCTTCACACTCTTCTTTCTTTTGTCTTTCACTACAGATGCTATTTAAGCCTGAATTCTAAGTCACCTCTGGGTGTTACTCAGTTTCTCTGGGTAGCTCCCATGCGTACATGGGGTACACATGTTAGTAAGCTTTGTAAGAAAAGTTTTATGAGAGTTTATTTGAGCCAAACTGATAATAATCATCAGGAATCAAAAGCTCAACTGATCAAGAAAATGATCCAAAGGAGGGTAGCTTTGCAATTTATTTTATATATTAGAATCAAAGGAAAGATGGAAAAAGGTTTACGTGAAATCTATTGGTGGTAGGTTATGGGGTGGGAGAAAGCAAAGCAGGGAAATCTCTGAAACTGGATAAAAAGCAAAATAAAGAGACACATACTTCTTTTACGCAGGTGAATACAGAATAGTTAATAGTTAACACAGCACAGAGAGATGGTGTGTTCCGACGTTCAAGGCCGGACGGGTTCACTTGAGATTCCGGCACAGAAGCAAATCTGAGGAGCCGTGGGAATGCCTGGTATGCCTTTATTCACGGGTGGGGTGATCCATGTATGTGACAAGCTGCGTCACCGGCAGGGAGTCCCAACCCTTTTATATACTGAATGCACACAAAGCCGGCAGAGAGCCAAGATATTATATAACAAAGTGTGATTCTGCACCTTCGGGTTCATTCTCAAGGCCATGGGAATGCTGCTTACCAGGCCTGGTGAGGGAGCCTGACTGACTTCATTTACCCTACAGATGGTAATCCGGCAACTAGACAAGAATGAGGGGTGTTGCGATCTTGCCCTCTGGTGTCAGCGGCTGTGCCTCGAGGGGTTGGGAAAAGAAAATGACTCTGACATTTCAAAGGTATGTTATCCCAGATGCATAAGAACAATGGGCAGGGCTCACTCAGTGTGAAGACTGACCTTGGTCAGGGAAGGCACAGGCCTAGGACATGACAGTTTGCCATGACCTACTTTTAATTAGGAATTTGTATGTTCACATCATCCCATGTGGTTACTCTTGGTTTCTGAGCTCATAAAGGCCTTTCAGGTGGCCGCCCCTGAGCTTGTCAGGTTCAGTGTGTCCCCCTTTTTTGTACACAACTTATATTTCTTTTTATCTTAATCCATCTTTGCTTATAAGGCTCCTGGTGAGAATTTGGAAGGGTAGAAGAAAAGCTAGTTTTTTTCTTCCTTGCAGTGTAATGATATTGTGCCCTCCCAGGTAATCCAGAATTATCTTCCCATATCAAGGATTTAAATACATCAGCAAAGTTCTGTTTTTCATGTGAGGTAATATATTTACAGGTTCCAGTGTTCAAGGGGTGAATATTTTTGAAGGACCATTATTTTCCCAACTGTAAACTGTCAAATGATGCTGAGTTTCTAAGAAAAAGTAGATGGGTGTGATGAGGACATTGGATTACTAGGAGAAAATACTTTAAATTTGAGGCTATCATTATAATAAAACATCATGGATATATGAATGTTACACAAAAGCTAACATTAATTTCACCAGCAATAAATTATACAGTCTGTTTAAATGTTATTTGTCAAAAACAATGGATAAAATGTAGGATTTAGGAAAGAAGTAATTTGTATAATCTGGAGTTTAAAAATGGCAGTGGCCAGAGGGGCGGGGAGATGAGGATAATGGGAAAGAAGGGGAAGGGTCAAGTCGAGGAAAGTGTATGGAGGACCCGTGGGCAAAGACAACATGTATGGAGGATTGAATGTGGGAGGTGGGAGGGGGGTGGGGCAGGGGAGAATAATGGGAGGAAAATGGGAACAACCATCATTGAACAACAATAACAACAACAACAAACTGTTTTGACCAGTGGAAAAACATCTCGATAGGTGTATTGCATCAGATGGAGAGGACTTTGAAGGCGACCGAAGTTTAAACATGTGACAATAAATGCACAATTTTTATTAAAAATGAGGGAATTTTAAAATTGTTACCAGAATAGTAGGTGAATTACTACCCACTTACAGAACACATTCTTCAAAATTTAGGGCCAACAAAATTTTTGCAGGAAACAAAATCCCTTTCAAAGCTCATCACTTTATTTGTGAGATACATTGTGAGCATGTACAGTACGACATGTACTTTGCTGAATTCTAAGGATACAAGGGTAAAGAAGATGAAAGTAAGCATATATCGTATATTAATTTTATGCTTATTCCAAAAAATTAAAGAAAATTTATGATGTTCAACTTTTTAGATTTTAATGAAGAACTCTATTATAAATGGAATATAAATGCTGCTAAGATTTTCAGCTTGAAAAACTGTGGATGGTAACATCACATAATGGATGAACTGTTGTAGAACATGAACATAATAAGTATAATCACCTGTCTTGGGAAACACAACAGTCAAAGCCACAAATCTGCCCGAGAGGGGTGTACAAGGCTTGTCCAAAGACATGGCACTTCAGCCATTTTTAATGTGGAGGCAAAAATACAACACGACAACACTTTTTTCTCACACCTTTTAAGTTCTTATAACTAGGTTAATAATTAAATAAACAGAAACAGGGTAGCAGGAGAAAATGTGCAAAATTTATTACAAATGTACACAACCACAAGTGTTATAGGAGACTAAATCCGTTGGAGAGTTGAGATTTATTTACATTATGGACAAAAGCAAAAGGGGGCAGGGTTTCAAAGGAAATAGACAGTGTATAGGTAGTTAAGAAAGACCAGAGCACACATGGCAGGGAAATTTCTGCTGGGCAACCAACCCAGAAACAGTAAGACACAAGGTGTGGTGTCTAGTTAACAGGCCTCTGCTTAGGTAACATATGAAGATGAATAGATTCCCTTCCTGGAGCAGACCTATCCATATGAATCTTGGGCAGGAAGCGGTAGAGCTTAGAGATTCCTGCTGAGTCTTTTTCTTTTTAATAACCAACTTAAAACCTATAGAAATAGCAGAGTTTTGGGGAATGGCAAAACTTTAGTCCCTTTCATTAATAGCGTCAAAGAGACAGAGAGACATAATATATCTATGACACAGGGAGAGGATGCTAAAAACAGGAGAAAAGAAAAGAGCTCTCAGAAATTGCGTGGTAGAAATGAAATGCTCAGTAGAAAGATTGCAGGATAAAGCTGAGGAAATCCCACACAATATACTGCATCAACTCAAAACAATTTGAATATCAAAAGGGAAAAAATTAGAATGTAAGAGGACCAATTAATCCATAAGATCCAATAGCTAATAATTGAATTTTCAGAGAAAGTAATGAGAGAAAATCATCACAAAATTATTGATATTTTTCTAAAATATTGAAAAAAATTACACATTTTGGCACTAATGGTCAAACTATGTTCCCATAGTAACCTAGTTGCCGATGGACGTGTGAAAGAAAAAAGGAAGAGCAAGCCAGATCACCTGACTTGACCACAGCAGATGCATTTTAATATAGTATCTAACAGTCGTGGGTTCACAGTGGTGGCAAGAAATGTTTGTAACAAAGGAATGCATACCTTAGTTAATTAATATCAGCCTCCTACAAGCAGTTAAGTCAGCTTTGCCATTCTAAAATATGCTTTTTGAGATATTGATTATTTTAACCTGGTTAATTTTTAAGAAATGAAAAACTCAGAAAGAAGATTTGACTTGCTCTCTACCTGCATCTAAGAATTTGGACAGAAGACCTGCTTCAGGAAGGCAGGTATCATCAAAGGTGACTGTACTTTAATATGAACTCAGTGTGTTTGACAGGGAGGAGCCTAGCAGAGCCCATTAGATCAAAGTCCTCTCTGTGTCCCATGAAAATGGCACAGCAAACATTTGTTTACCAAGGACCTGCTTTTCTAGCTCCATGTGAATTGCCTGTCTGAACTTTGAAGTCCCAAACCACAGCCCTTGACTTCCCCATCCTTCTTAACTCAAAATAGCATGTAAGCCTCAATGTCCAGATATGTCCTGGGTCTGATATACTTATGGAAACCTGTATGCAATAGATTTGGTCATGTTCTTCTGTTAATCTGCCTCATATTAATTTGATTATTCATCCAGCCAGAAAAACTTAGAAAGGTAGAAGGGAAATTATTTTTCCATGCCCCCCTCCATATATAAAACTTAGTTTTAAGGAAATCTTTCTGATGCTAAAATAGATTAAAAAAACCCCCACTAATCTTAGCTACATGATTTGTTCATCAGAAACATCACCAAGCTATCCATTGATGATAATTAAGAAATAAAATGCATTTGTTATTTTTTGTGGAGTGTTCATTTTTGCCCTATGCCTTTCACGGAAATTTTCACATATTCATTCATGTGACTCTCTCAATATTTTATTTATTCCCATTTTAGACAGAAAGAAACTGAACCACCACCAATTTAAATAATTCGTTCAATATCACACAACTAGTAAATGGTGGAAAGAAGATTTAAACCTAAGTAGTCTAGGTTATTTCTTAACATTCTTTTTAAAAAAAGAAAAAAGAAGTACTAATATTATCAGTGTTTACAAATAGCTTGAAAATAATTGATTCTATTATTTATCCATTTTTAATAACTTTATTAAAATTCTCTTCAAAGAATTTTTCCACCTTTCCTGAACACTTCCATTGGTGAGAAATTGACTGTCATCCAAGGCACTTCCCATCTTTTTTCCTGTCCTGAGACCCTCTGATCTTTAAATTTCTGTTAATAGCCCTGGCTGATACAGCTCAGTGGATTGAGTGTGGGCCTGCAAACCAAACAGCCGTGGTTCAATTCCCAGTCAGGGAACATGCCTGGGTTGCAGGCCAGTTCCCAGGCAGGGGACGCACGTGAGGCAACCATACATTGATATTTCTCTCCCTCTCTCCTTCACTTCCCCTCTAAAGGTAAATAAATAGAATATTTAAAATTTTTCTGTTAATAACTTCAGTTTTGTCTTAGATGCTCAGGATCCCCTGAGGCTATAAAGGACACATGTAATATTTTCCCAGATAACATCTTTTTATATATTTGGAGATATTTGCTTTCACTCGAGAGTTTTATCAAATATGAGATCCATAGTTCTCTGAATTATACTTTATTACTTGGCCTTAAATGTCCTTTAACCACCCTGGCATGTCTTCTGAAGCTGATTCAGAGTGCCTGTACCTTCTTTGCTTCTAGAACTAGCATTTATAACATTCTATGGGGAGAGATGAGTGAACCATCCATTTCCATTAGATTCTAATAATTTTTTCCCTAAAAGGCCACACTGTTCATATTATATTGAAATGTCTGTCAAGCATAACTTGAGTCTCTTTCATCTACAGTCTTTACACTAATATTTATATTATCCCTCTCCAGTCCCTTTGAAATTGGTTTTAGAGATTCAGATGAGTCCATGTGGTTTCCTATGGTCAGGACCACTGCATCGCTCTACTCTGCCGGTACATGTCTGCATCCCAGCTTAGTCGTCCAACTGACGTTCACTCCCTTGTGATTTGGGGCTGTCCTTGTACTTGACAAACACGTACAGCAAAATGAAATCCTGATGATTGTAAGGCCGAGTCCTTTGGAAGATGGTTTTCTGCACTTTGGACACTCTTACATGTTGAGCAAATACTTTTTATACAACCTTTCGGTAGTTGAGCACCATCCCAGTCACATGGGACATGCCTGAGCAAGGTGGATGGATCACCAAGAAGTTCAGTCCTAGCATCTATCTCTTGTAAGAAATCCTCCTCCAGACTCAAACAAGTTCATTAATAATTGACATTGGGATATGATCATTAAACTCAGTACTCATTTTTGCAACAATTGCACTGTCATTCAGTTTGCATTCTGCATCTTAAAGCTCAAAATTTAAGACACTGCGATTTGCCAAAGCTCCAAAACAAGATATATTCTACATTTTTCCAGACATAGAAACCTATGTAAAGGACAGCAGTCTGATTCTATATGGCTTATACTCATTCTGAACCTGCGTTTTACTGAACCACTTCTGCTTACGCCACATGTGCTTCTATTGTCTTGCCAGGTTCGTGACCCAACCCAAGCAACTACAGTGACTGGTCACCTTTTGGCCTGAAAAACAACTCTAAAGTGTTTTTATTTAGTTATAACATTGGGTTTATTTTGTTTCTTTTTATTTGTTTTCTGCTAAGTCCTTTGCTGATTTCAGCCTTTTAACTTTCTCAACGCTTACAGGTTCATCATGTACTATTTCGCAACATTCAATTGAATTTTGAGAACCATGAGGCCTAATGTGTAGGCAGAGTGATTTCTTTGGAACGCCTTTCAACTGTTTATGAAAAAAGAAGAAAAATGGAGAAAAATTAACCTGCAATGAGTATACCAGAAAAATTTTGATTCAACCTACTCGATATTAGGATAAAACTTACTCAGGCTGTTAAACGTCAAGGTAAAGAAATCTTTCACCAGGCACCTAGAAAGAAGAAACAAAATACAAATAAAGAAGAAAGATCAGAAAAGTCTCATACTTTCTCTGCAGAAATACGTTGTGCTTAGAGACAGTGGAACAATGTCTAAAAGCAAAAGGAAGAGGAGTGTAATCCAATAATTTTATAGCCAGCTAAGATGTTTTTCAAGTATAAATGGAGAACAGAGACCAGTGAAAACATAATATAACTAAAGAATTTATGGCATATGAGATCAACTGGAATAAAATATTCAAGTATACAAAGCCTTATAAATCACCACTGAAAAAAATCTATTTCTTTTAAAAGTAAAACTGAACATCCTTGAAGAACATAAAATATAAACATGAATAATGTATTAATATATTTTACAAATGGTGTAATGTAGGCAGAGGAGTCATGGAAATACGTGGCATGCCATCGTCTTTCATTTATGGAAGGAAGTTAACATATTTTTTAAAAATAAAGACCTGTGGTCAAAGCTATTGCTTATATCTTATGAGTAAAATATTATCTTAATTTCCAGTTTTTTTAACATGCAGCAACTCTGTGGTAAGAAAACATTTACTTGAATTCTAATAATATATTTGTTTTATTTTTAAGTTTTTTATTATTAAAATTAAAACACGCTTTAATAATTTAACTATAATGCTTTCATGGTACAGTCCTGCTTTTTTAAAACAACAGATTTATATCTGTTTTCCATTGTTGTATTTATCTATGTTTATGTTTAGAAAAATATGTGGAATGAGGTTCACTCATAGTTATGATAATTATTTCATTGTGAGAAGATTTAGAGCAATTGTATCTATTGTTTTTGCAACTATCTCATTTTGAGTCCTTTAATATTAATATGCATTATATACACATGAAATGTATAGAAGCTCTCTGACCCCAGTGCTCTCTGATTCTCATGCAGGTCTGTCTGCAGGGAGAGGCTGACCCCTTCCCCTTGGACTGTTTTAGCTCGGCTTTCCTCACTGTCTGGCCTCAGATTCGTGGTTTCAGCCAATGAGAAGCGCTGGCTGGTGAATGACAGGGCAAGAGGAGGGTTTGTGGTATTTGTTCTCCATTCCCTAACACGTTTGGTGGCGTTTTCTGTTAGTGTTTGGTACTCATGACTGCGGCTCCGGCTAGGCAATTTCCTACAGTAAGGTTACACCTCCAGTCTTGCTTCTGCCCCACAGATGAAGGGGTGGTTAATGGTTTCCCATCCATTGCCTATGCCCTCCCCTTGAGAAAGTTTCTTGAACTATTTGAGTCAAATTCTGTTTATGTCAGGACTGATCAAATAAGTAATAATGACATTTTGTTCTTATTTTTTTTGATATTTTTATTTAAAATAAATATACATTGCTCGTTTATACAATGTATTTTGTTACAGGCTATAGGTTTTTCCACTGCAGGTTTTAACATTGGAGTTGTTATAAACATGACTCAGTTCTAGTGCACAAACATGAACAGTTTTACAGCAAATAGCAACAAAGTATTTTATGCACAAAGTACATAGGACAACATTTATATTTAAGTATTTTATTGCCAAACATGTAGGAAATATGTGTCGACCTATTTCATCTTAAAGTGTTACTAGTACTTACTATTTTTACCATGTGATAGGTAAGATAAAATAGATTTTTACTTGGCTAATTAGAAATTCCCTGGAGTATTAGACAACCAGAAAATATCTGGTTGTCTATTCAGAGTTTTACAATGGATGTGTTTGCTAAAAGATTTCCGCGTCTTACATTTGGGCCCTTTACAAATGCTCAGGTGAGTGTATGCATGCTGAAGTATTCAGATAAACTGGCAGAGGATGCACCGAGGAATATACTGCTTCTTTCCCTCAGCCCCTCCCTCGCTGCCAGCAAGCCCTTCCTCCCCTTTGCCTCCTAAAGTCTGAATTCAGCTGGGATTTTAGGTAACTGCTGGGAAGTATTAAAACTCATTATTTGGTTGACCAGAATATTTGCCCTCTTTTATTTTCCAATAATGCTCTCTGAATGGTCTCCTTAATACTTTTAAAAGATGTGTGGCGGAGCAGCAGAGTCCAGCGTGGGCAGGAATTACAGTTATCGTTTCAGATGAGGTGTGTTGACAGAGCTTGGGGTGACGCAGTTGGCAGCGCGTGGGGCTCGCCTCCTTATTATTACCATCTGTGTCAACTTGGAGCCTCCTGCATTGCAGAAAGGACAAGAAAATGAAGCTGTGGTTGTGTTCTGGGGAGATTTTTTTTCATTATGATTGACCCGGGGGTACACACTAAGTAGGTGAATGAAATGGAAAAATCGTCCCAGGTCTTTTGCTGGATATCACTTGTAACTATCCTCACCGTACCATTAGTATTTAAAAACTCTTCCTCTCTCTACAGTTTTTTTTTTACATCTATTTCTTTAGAGAAACAGTCCTAACGGTGACAAAAATATATCGCTTTCTTTGTGGAACGTGATGAAATTTATAATGTAACCTTTATAGCAAATATATTATTACTGGCAAAAAACCATGGTTCATTTTTATAACAAAGCATATTGGCAGTTGAAATGAGCAAAGAACAAGTATTGTGCAGCCTATATATGAAAGGCTTGGAATGCTAAACTATTTGGAAGGAACCTGAGTCATTTCAGGGAATTTATGTAGGTCAGAATCAACCAAAAAAATGAAGAAAGCAAAGAAAACGCTGAGAGTCAACTTTTAGGTTTTTTTCATGTTGGATTTAGAAGCAAATGATATCATTTAAAGAATGTATTGTAAGGATACACTGAAAAACACCAAATGTATTTTTATAAGTGATAGGAGTGAAAAAGTTACACTGAGCAGCTTATTCTTAACAATTCACACTAAATCATTTTCATTCAGTAAGACTAGGACTTTGCTTTCAGCAGCAGACAATAGGAAGTACCATTTCATATACAAGAAAGGTATGCAGTTTAATACTAGAAACGCACTATGATATTTCAAGTATGTTCATATATACTTACGCTTAGTTTAAATAATCAATAAAATGGTACATATTTTGTTCCAAAATATGAGTCCAGTCTCCAATTAACCTTTTAGTTGTTAATAAAAGTCCCAAATAAAACATTTTAATATTAACTATTTAAACAAGTTTCATATAAATAAGAGGTAATGTCAAAATTCAAGTGTGTAAACATGTATAATAATTGGGCTTACTCATGGTGTCATGTATCACTTGATAAATTAAAATAATGAACAAAACAACCTCATTGAATACATGAGAGAATTCAGCATTGAGACTGAAGGGACACTTGAGAGATCCCTGAGGTGTCAACAGTGTATCTCTCTGCAGTGGGTCCCGCTACCAATTTTACAAGGTTTTGTGGCTCTCAGAGGAAGTAAAAGGTCAAGTAGAAATGTCTGAGAATTCATTCACAAAAATCATATTTAAAAAGATGTCTATTGCACCTGAATGTGAACTCCACAACTCAGAAGTGAATACTGGGGGGAATGTTGGTTGGGTTAAAGTTCAGGTGGCTTTAAATAAGAGTATAATCAGGTAACATATCCTTCCTAAAATATCAATAGATTCATTCACGCACAGGATAGGTGTAAATCCTATCCAAAACTGAGGTTCCTTTCAGACATACATTGATCTGTCAGATGGAAATTTGGGCGTGGACCTGAAACCAGAAAAGACACTGGCATTTGGGCTGCCTGTCACTGCCAAACCCAATAAGTAATGACAGCGACTGAATCTTTTTGGATGCTTTATTCAGAGAGCCAGTGATCTGAGAAGATGGGGGGTTCAAATCCAGCAGACCATCTCATTTTTTCTTTCCTGGCCAATGTTTTTATACCAGGGAATTAACAAGGTGCGGTGAGGGTTTTGAGATTCAGAGAGGATTAGGTGAAAGAAGCTGCAACATTCCTGTCCTGGGCAGTTAGCTGATCTCAGGGGTGGGTGAATGCAAAGGCCCAGGTGCCTCCAGTTGTCCCCAGGCGGTAATCTTTAGCAGTGCCCCAGGAAGTTGGCTGGCTGTTTTCCCAGGAACCAGAACTCACCTTATCTGTAGTTTCTGAAACAAAAGCTTTAACATACACATTACTTGCTAGGCTTGTAACTTTTTACCTTAAACTCTTGAGTCCCCTATTGGATCCAGTGGAAGACAGATAACAGGGAGAAAAAAGAAGAAAAAACCAAGATTCCTGAAATAAGAAAACGTTTTTATATGGGAAGGAATTAGTGGTTTAAAGTTACCACTATAGACTTATAGCGGTTGAAATCTATATGTAGATTTAAAGCTACATATAGTCTGTACTTGAGTTCATGCTCAGCTCTATGCCCCTATAAACGTATATGATTCCTATGAAATATAACCTATAGCAGGAGAGTACAGCAGGCACTGCAGTCTGTGAGAGTAGATAGAACATACCCGAAAAATGTCTGGCACTCAAGATTCCTCTCAACACCAAGTTGAGCTGGATAAGAGAGTGACCTACACAGTGAATGGGTGAAAACAGTTTGAAGTGATAGGCATTTGGATGAGAACTGCAGAACTCTTAGAACAGATGACTGTCCAGCTACCCATACTGAGACTCCACCAAATGCCTGTCTTCTTCAGTTCAAGATGTGAGTTCTTAGCGTGAGCCCTATCCTATTCAAATGACTTGCTTGAGAAAGCAGAACACTGCCAAAGAATTTACTGTGTGTTCCAGTCAAAACTTTAACTATATACCACTGACCTCTCTTTCTTACAGCACTTACTTTTGCAACTTGGAGTCATAAACCTTTCTCTGTCCCCTTGAGATGTAAACATCCTAGTACCCTGCAATGTTGCCCTAAGACCTGGATGCTACCTCTTTGAAATGCAGCCATCTAGAGAAATGGGTTCTCTACCTCCTAGCCCCTGTGGGGAGTGGGAGACGACTAACTTTGGTGCGCACCTTACCGCAATTTGTAAAACTACATTCTGTCATAAAGCTGTGAGCAGTTTCTTTTCTTTGGGTAAGTGTCCATCAGCAAACACAAATGACCTAATCATGTTGATCAGTTGCTCCCTTGAACACCCCTCAGTACCTTTCCTTTGGCACAGCCCAGTATCTAAAAAGCCTTCTGCCTTTTGTTTCAGTGGAGTAGAGCCCGGTTTACGTTGAAGTCTCTGTCCTGCTGCAGCTGAATAAACCTGTCTTGCTATGCCCAGTGCAAAAACTTTCTTTTATATGGGAGACAAGTTATGACTGAGATCCTGACAGCATCGATGTAAAGGAAGTCATCATTGTTCACGCATGCGCATTCCAGTCCACTCTCCTTGGTAGGCAGGTTACACCAATGTTGCACAAACTGTTCCCTTTATATTAAGAATGGCTGGGCTTTTTCTAGACAGACATGGTATATTAATATAGTATAATACAGTATAATTGTAATATAATATAATTTATAATGTAATAAAGTACATTTTCACTGTCCTAAAACTTCTCTGTGCTCTGCCTATTTATCTACCCACCCCACCCCTGACACCACCCCTGACTTTGCAATCACTAATCTTTTTATTGTCTCTATAGTTTTGTCTTTCCGGAATGCTGTATAGTTAGAATCGCACAGTGTATAGCCTTTTCAGGTTGCTTTCTTTAACTTAGCAATGTTCATTTTCCTTTCTGTCTTTTCATAGCTTAATTTATTCTTTCTTTTTAGTGCTGAGTAATATCTCGATATCTGCATGTGCAACAGTTCATCCATTCACTTACTGAAGGACATCTTGGATGCTCCTGAGGTTTGGCAATTATAAAAAAAGTTGCTGTAGACATCCATGATAAGTATTTGTGTGGACACATACCTTTCCTATGGGTAAGTACCAAGCAGAATGACTGCTCGAATCATGTGTGGGAAGAATATGTTCAGTTCTTTAAGAAACTGCCAAATGGTCTTCTAAAGTGGCTGCATCCTTCTGCCTTCTGATCAGTAATGGATGAGAGTTAGGGTTGCTCCACATCTCCTCCAGCATTTAGTATTGCCAGTGTTCCAGATTTTGGCTATTCTGGTAGGTACATAGTGGTATCTTGTTGTTTAAATTTATGTTTCCTTGGAGAGATGGTGTAGAGCTTCTTTTCATAGCTTATTTGCCATCTGTATGTCTTATTTTATGAGCTGTTTGTTAAGGTCTTTGGTCCTTTTTTAAAATAAGATTTTTTTTTGCTGAGTCACAAGAGTTGTTTGTACATTTTTAATAGCAGTCCTTTATCAGATGTGTCTTGTGCAAACATTTTAAATAGTTCTTGTTTTTTATCTTTTGCAGAGCAGAAGTTTTCCATTATAATGAAGTCCAGCTTATCAACATTTTTTCTTGAATCATGTCTTTAGTATATATAAAAGGACATCACTGTACCCAAGATCATGTAGGTTTTTGCCGATATTATCTTCTATGAGTTTGATAGTTTGCATTTTGCAGTTGGTTCTACGATCCATTTTGAGTTAATTTTTGTGAAAGGTGTGAAATCTGTGTCCAGATTTTAATTTTCTTTGCATATGGATGTCCAATTGTTCCAGCATCATTTATTGAAAAGACTACCTTTGTGGAAAACAGTATGGAATTTTCTCAGAAAAATAAAAATTGACCTGCCTTTTGACCCAGCAATTCCACTGCTAGGATTATACCCCAAGAATCCTAAAACATCAATTTCAAAGAACCTATGCACCACAATGTTCATAGCAGCACAATTTACAATAGCCAAGAGTTGGAAGCAACCTAGGTGCCCATCAGTAAACGAATGGATCAAAAAATTGTGGTACATATACACAATGGAATTCTATGCAGCAGAGAGAAAGAAGGAGCTACTACCTTTTGCAACAACATGGATGGAACTGGAAAGCATTATGCTGAGTGAAATAGGCCAGGCATTGAAGGACAAATACCATATGATCTCACCTTTGACAGGAAGCTAAAGAATAAAACAAACAAGCAAACAGAATAAAAACAAAGACGCTGAAATAGAGAACAAGTGGGCAGCGACCAGAGGGGAGAGGGAAGGGAACTTAAGGGGAAAAAGGGGGAGGGATTTTGAGGAACAAGTATGAAAGATACAGAGATGAGGACTGGGGGGAGGGAATGCGAGGGAGGGGGGAGACCGGGCGGGGGGGTGGGGTGGGATGGGAGAAATAGATTAAAAAAAATGTACTTGAAAAGTAACTAAATAAAATTCATATTTAAAAAAAATAAATAAATAAATATCACATAATAAAAAAAAAGAAAAAAGAAAAGACTACCTTTGCCTTATTGCGTTTCCTTTGCTTCTTTGTCAAAGATCAGGTGGCTATATTTATGGGGGTATGTTTCTGGGCTCTTCCTTCTACTCCATTGATCTATTTGTCTATTTTTTAGCCAGTGCCACATTGTCTTAATCATGGTAACTTTATAGCAACCTTTGTGCCAGTGACATCAGTCTTCCAACTCTGTTCTTTTGTCATGTTAATTTATTACTAACTCTAGCTTAACTGAAACCACTTTAAACTATAAAATTATTTGGAAATAGCCAATGAACACAGATAAAAATGACAGAAAAAGGATACACGTACAATAATTCAGCTCATGCATGCCATAAATCCTAGTAAATTATTAAGCAATTCATTTAAGGTTTTCTTGATTACTGCCAGCTGGAAAATAATTACCAATCTAGCCTTCCTCAGTGATGCTTCTCTCAAACTTGAAACTGCCATTTATTTATTCTACAAGGAAGAAAACACTCTTGTTACTCCTGTCTTATTATGTCATCTTTCATATCCAATGCATCATGGAGTCCTCCCAATGCATCATGGAGTCCTCCCAATTTTACCTGCTGTGTGTCTCTCAAACGTGTTCCCTTATTATTACCTCCACCACCACTAACAGACCAAGCCAATGCTTCTGAGCTATTGCAAAAGCCTCCTGATTCAGTTCATATTCCACTTTGTCATAGGAAATGCATCCCAACAAGGTGAAGTAGAGCATGCCATTGCTCACTGCTGCTCCCACTTCACCTATTCCTCTTTATCCTTATCCACATGTACAAGGCATTTTTATCTTTAAACATATAGCATCACTTACTTATTATATTTGCTGATATATATCTGCAAATGCCTCAAACAAGGCCTGTGGTCAACAGGCAATAAATATGTATAGAATGACAGTTAAATGTTCTTAGAATGAAAACCAAATTTCTTTACACGGTAAATAAGAACGTGCATTATCTCACCTTCCTTCTGCTCCAATCCTGTATCTACCAAGTTTATATCTAACTTTTCTAAACTCACTGGCTTTCTAAATTTATTACCAAGAATTGGATAAAGAAGAAAGGCAGAGGGATTCTTATATTCCTGGACAATAATCGTGAGCTTGCAAAGGCACCAGCAAATGTTAGTACACTTTAGTGCAGTGTGAACCCGGCAGTGAGAAAGGGCGAAATCACATTACACTGTTGAGGAGAACACTCAGCCCTGGCAGGACCACTGCACATTTTTTTAGCAAACCATAATTTTTGCCTTCATAACTTCCAAATCCTCCAGCTTCCATATCTTTTACCAACTTCTTCGTGAAATCTCCCTCAAAAATAGCACCTCTCCTCTCTTTCTTAGTTATTTGTTTTCTTAAGAAAATCAATATGTTCTTTTCCTGTAGAGATTATGTTTTGATTTATAGCTAAACATGATCTCATGCAATTAGTTGTATGAGTTATCACAATTGGAATACAAGCTCCCTGAAAACAACAGTACATTACTTTTAGTTTTATATTTCTTGGTATCCAAATATAATTTATTAATATTTATTTATATCATTTGCAAACATTTTAAGACAAAAGGAAATGAGAACAGAAAAAAGAATAGTGTATGATCTATAGTCATAGTTACTAAGGAATATGAAGATTGCCTTCTAATTAACTGAAGCCAAAGAAGTAGTCATAAAAAATTATCACAAATATAAATCCATTGACTATTATATTAAAAAATTTCTTTGCAGATGCTAAGACAAAATACTAGAAACAATGAAAGTAATTGAAATAATGAAAACTTTTTTTTCTCAATGAAACCTCATTATGAACTTCATGTATGAAAAGGATAAAAGGAGGTGAATTAGGACTGATGCTTGGAGTCCGTCTCACTCAGTTTTCTCATTATCCACAGTTTTAATATGACTGCTCTGAATAATATAGAATTTGTTTTATATGCATGGGTGCAATATGATAGGAAAAAGTGCAGAATACATTTATGCATGTATATATAGTGCAAATCCTTTCAAAAGTCCATTATAAATATAAATTTTGATGCAATGAACTTTGAAATATGTGACGGATGGCCTCCTTGCATGTCAATAATTCTTCCCGAATAGCTTTAGAGTTACTCTCTTTTGGCTCCATGTGCTTCTGTGGTCCAGTCGCCAGGAATGCAGGAAATTAGCAAGGTTAGCTGTGGGCAGGAGGTACCCTTCCGATGACCTGCACACCTGGACTCACACTGAAAGGAAGCACAGAAAATCTTCAGGTTTGAGTGTCTGCCAGGAGTAGTGACCAAACACTGTTAGATTCAAGTCATAACATTTTACATGATTTTTATACAATGGGTGGAAAGACAATTAGGTTGCCTCTTTGACATTGTGTCTAGAGACTATTGTTTAATGAATTTCTATTTTTGCAATTAACGATTTCTTTCTCTGTTGGTTGATAACCATCTCTGTGATTTTTCTTTCCAATTCATTTTATCTGATTCTTTCTGGATTTTTACTTTTTGGTTTCTTTTAGTTATTCAATTTTTGGTTTAAATCTCCCTTTATTACTTTTTTCTTAGAGCTCTTGATGCACTTTCTCATTCTGTTAGATTTAATTTGACTTGCTTTTTTTGTATAATCCTGGTTTAAACCACTTGTCTTTTGGTGGAAAATAAAAATGTTGGTCAGATTCCCTTTATATGGACTGAAAACTGCTTATTTCGTGTAATAATTTGTTCTCTCCTTGTTTCCAAGAAGCCAAAATAATACCCTTTAATTTCTGAAAACTTTGTGGAAAAGACATATTCACATAAATCAACCAGATAATAACCTTCTCTACCCTGCAGACCCCAGTGGTCATGCTAAGGAGAAAGAATTCTCAGCACAACAGTTTTGCTGGATTTGAATGAACTGTAGATATACAATCGGGAGCAGGTTGCAGGATTTCACCACATGCTGTTGCAAAGGGACCCCCAACAATCAGGGTGAGGGAAAAGTTTGAGAAGAGGATTGAAAAACCTGGGAGAACACATAGATATGACAGCTGTCATAAGAAATAAATACTTGGGAAAGAGAAAATTTTTAAGGGGATTTGTAGAAAGTGCTTTAGTGTAAGGTTGTTACAGAACAGACACACTGGGGCCGGACTCGGGAGGAATGTGATACTAATACTGTCCGGACCACCTACTGGGCTCCATTGTCCGCCGCCACCTGGAAAGACATCTCTCACTGCCAGAGATTTGTGAAAAGGAAGGGAAATGTTTATTTAATGCTATACAAACTTAAAGTAGTAATCTAAGGTCTTAATTAAAATATCAAAGTCCTTTAGGATGTTCACCTATGCACACAGCCCTGCCTTCTCCCCTTGCCCTAATTCAGGGTACCATAACTCAAAAAAAAGAGCACACGTCCATGCTTCTAGGCTGCTGGCACCATCAGCTGTGTCACCGTCCAGGCAGGATCTCTAATTAATCCAAAGTCATGTGGAACTTTCTCATGGTCCACTGGCAAAGAGTTCTTTGTACCCATTTTTCCAGGCAAAGTCTCTCCTACTTCCCAGGCCATGTGGCCAAAGGGAGCACCCCAAAGCCATGTGGGCCTCTTCTACCAAAGCTGCAGGGGTCTGCACTCTGCCAAAGTATGTGGTTCTCTCCTTGACCTGGCTGCAGGGGTCCCCACTCTGGCAAAGCTGTGTGGCTCTCTCTCAATGGCTGCCATGTCTGGGTTTAAATCTCCATGCCAATCTTCCTCTGTACCTCCATTTCCGACTCCTCCCACAATCAGTTATACCTGCCAGCATTCCTGTATTATTCCAAGTTTACTGGGCTGCCATTGTGAATCTGGGCAGGTATGGCCCCATGTCATGGAGCCAATCTTCTCCAAGCTCCCATGTAGGCACTGTAACTCAGGGGACCTGCCCCCCAGTTACATCTTGGGGGGAAGTGACTTCTGTCCCACTGGCTCCAAGCATGGCCATAGCCATTTAACATATCCAAGTGACCTGCCAAAGTCTATAGATATGTTAAATGACCATGCAATGGATTTGCTGCAAGGCTGTGGTTGCACAAAACAGCCATGCATGTTCCTGCTCCATGTGTCCCTTCCCCCAACTCACACCTCTGGGGGAAGGGATGAGGACTTCTTATATGTCTTTCCAATATTTCCTAGACACTTTGAGTTCTGGACCCCATTCCAAATCTTTTTCGGGGGCCCCCCTCTTGGCTGCACCCTGTATCAAGGTAATCCCCTATTCTTCCTTTCCATAAAACTTAGTGGAATTATACCTATTGATACCTTCAGAGTTGGACGTGTGTATGCTCATGTTT